TTCATCAAGCCTCTATATGTAATAAGTGTGAATATTGAATGGGTAGAACTGTGGTGAAATAATGATAGATGTGTTGATCATCACAGTGAATGAGCAATCTAAGCGAACGCTGTAAAGAAAGACTTGAAAAAATGATTTCAGCATTTGCTTAGATCGCTCATTCACTGTGATGATCAACACATCTATCAATATTACATGATATGACATATCTGGGATAACACTGAAATGGCTTTCCATTGTCTTCAAGTAATTCATCCAATTACTACATATAGTTACAGCTGGTGATAAAATATGGTATGGTCACAGTAGTACGGCTATGAATAAATTTCCCATTCATGCGAAAACCACTCTATTACATCAACTTGTACGGTTGTTAGCTGCATCCTAAAATTTGGTATTTCACTGCCACTGATCAAAATCAGTCAGTCAGTTAGTGTCATTAAAAAACAAAACTACAACGGGTAGTTTGCAACTACTGGTTTGGATTTATTGCCATAAATTCAAAAGTTACCAGAAGATTTGTAACTGTTTTCGTGACAGCATCAGTACTCACATCTCATGATCTGATTACATTTTCACCTTCCCAAAGGATGTGTTTTCAACAGCGATGGAGTTCAGCAAGCTGGAAAAAGTAGAAATTGCAGGCATCAAGGGGAAAGTGCTGAGTCATCAAGTGGTGGAGATCTTCAATGAGTTCAATGAGCTCTATGCTATGTTTGGTAATCGAACATATGATGGGCTGGATGCTACAAACAAGGTGCAGTTAACAAACTATTTTGTTGCTTCAAATCATTATTCAGTTGTAACCCAGTATTGGGTTCAGGAGGGTAAATAGCCATCCCCCTAAATGACACCAAAAACACATATTTCTAAAATTCTTAGGTTCAAAATTTTCTGGGTAGGGGGTTGGGGAATGTACCCTGACCCTGTAAGGAGCTCATCCCTTGCCAAGTCATTAGGTCATCACCTTTCCCATCAATCAATTATCTTCCAGATCTGCCTCAGCTCACAGATGCTTTGTTTAGGTTGACTGGAATTTAAGAATCACTGTACTGTGAAGCAGCTTTTCAAACAAAATCTTTAACTTTGTGTGTTTGTTACAGGAATTTGTTGATGACTACAATCAGTTCAGAGAAAGAATCACAGACCTGGATAGACGGCTGGCTTCAATAGTTTGCCAGGCGTTTGATGACTGTCCAAGTACAGAGTCAGCTCTTAAGGTACATGTATGTTAGTGAGAGCAGTGTCTATTAGGAAGACTGTATTGGCCACACACACTTCATTTCTCTAATGCAAACTTTTTTGAAAGCAGTATGTCAGATGCATTTATCTAGACTTTTATTTACTTTGATGGTTGGGTAATTGTGTAGTTCCAGAAATTATCCATACCCCCCCCCCCTTCCCCTGCCATGGAAGAAATGTTTTACCAACCCTCCACCC